TTATTCGATTATATCCTTAGGTAGGCATAATCTCACCCTTTAAGGTTTAGTGAGGTAATCAATTACTGGGTACATTTTTGCATATACAGCGAAGGGCAAAACTGTGGGGATTATGGAAGAGAATCACTAAAATCGGATCCTTCATAACAGCCTTGATCCAGGTTCTGGGGGACACTTTTATAGGCTGTGGATCTGAACAAGTATTGAACTAACAATGGCAAGGCAAATGCTGATAGCACATCAAATCAAGGTGCTGGCAGGAGACGGGTAAGAAGAAAGTAAAAATTTTTTATACTTTACTTTGAATGTGGCATAGGTGGAGTCACGCAAACCATTGGGAATACTATTCCAGGTTATAACGCCTTTATATTTCAAGGAGTTCTGAGTTTTGCCCGTTGAAAAGCGGGGTACAAATAAATTGGATCTTGTCGAAGAGCGCGTATTATGTTCATGTGCGTTACTAAGCTTAACAAAATAATCGTCAAAAGCTGCAGGCAACTGGTGGTTGTGAAATAGATGCATTACTTTAGAGATTTCTAGTTTGTGGATGTCGGATAGTTTTAACACCTTGGTCTTATTGTATAGGGTGTTTATGTTAGAACGAAAAGGCGCCCTAGAGAGAACTCTAACGGCCCTATTCTGGAGAACCTCTAATTTACGCAAATTTGTCTGGGTAGCAGAGCCCCATGCAGCTATGGCATATTGGATGTGTGACTGGAATATGGCAAAATATACGGTTCGCAGGTTAATATCATGGACGTAATGCCGAAGCTTGCCCAGAATTCCCACAGATCTTGACAGTTTCTTATGGATTTCAGTGATATGAGTGTTCCATTTTAGATGAGAAGGGACAACTTTAAGCGAAATACCATTAATTTTAACAGTAAAGTTGGCAAGTCTAGTGCGAGTTTTGGGACAGAATATCATCACCTTCGATTTATCAACATTCACTGTGAACTTATTACAAATCATCCAATCATGAACTTTGTTTATTTCAGTGTTCACTTTGGTTTGGAGCGAAGTTAAGTCTTTTGCACTGTGAAGCAGGCACGCATCGTCGGCAAAGAGTTTGGTCAGAAAATTTGAACTGTTAGAGAAGTCATTAATTGCGATCAAGAATCCAAGTGGTCCTAGTACACTACCTTGAGGAATTCCGCAATAGATGGGGAACACTGGAGACCTGTGAGAATCCACCTCCACAAATTGTGAACGACCGGACAGGTAATTAAATAATAGATTGCCTGCAGCACCTCGGAAACCATAATGTCTAAGCTTATGGGATAGAATTCTATGATTGACGGTATCAAAAGCTTTCTTCAAATCGAGAAAGATACAACAGACAAATTCTCCTTTGTCCAGTTTATCGAAAATGAAAGAGGTTAAATCAAGAATAGCGTGACTGGTGGAAGTATTAGTTTGAAAGCCAAATTGACATTTGTTAATTAGGTTGAAATTTGTACAAAATTTAAGGATTCTCTTATATAATAATTTTTCTAAAATTATACCTATAGAGGGTAGAATGGAAATGGGCCTGTAATTTGATGGATCATTTTTTTTACCACTTTTAAATATGGGAACCACTCTAGCAATCTTTAAAGAAGAAGGGAAAATGCCTAATGTAAAGGCTGAATTAAAAAAGTGGGTTAGTGTAGGTGATATTATATCGGCAACTGTTCCTAGAAAGTGGGATGGAACACCATCGGGCCTAACTGCTTTACTCTTTTTCAGATTCAAAATTATTTGGATAATCTCCGTGGAAGAAGTGGGTTCGAGAAAAAAGTTTTGCATTGGAGCACCCAAGAAGTCGGCGAATGATTTTGAGATATGTGGGATTTTATCTGCAAGATTCTTTCCGATTGTCGAGAAATATTTATTAAAAACACTGGCAATCGTAACTGGGTCGGTCACTGAAGTACCGTTTTCGAGTTCCAATTCTGAGATGGATGTATTATCTATGGACTTGATCTTAATAATGTCGTTAATGGTTTGCCATGTGCGTTTAATATCACCTCGATTGCTTTCGAGGACACTATGGTAGTACATCTGCTTAGATCTCCTCAGCAAATGTGTTAACATATTTTTATACTTTTTGAAGTAGCTACGTTGGACTGCATTGCCCTTTAGAAACTTTTTTTTAAGCATAATATTTTTGTGTTTAATGGACTTACGAATTCCCCTGGTGATCCAAGGTTTATAAGAAAGTTTGTTTTCTTTGCGTGATAAGGGTCGTAATGGGGCATGTTTGTTGATTAAGCATTTCAGATGGCCAAGAAAAGTTTCAAAACAGCTATTAAAATTTTCTTTACAAAGATAAACGGTTGTATAGTTGTTACACATTGACTCAACTTCGGCTCTGAATAATTCGCTACAGAATTTTGTCATATCGCGCTTCATACGAATCTTTGTTTTTGTGATTAAATCAATACCTGAAATTGTGCACATGACCGGAAAGTGGTCAGTAAGGTCACTAAGTAGAATAAATGATGACGAACAATAGTTCACGGTATTTGTGTATATATGGTCTATAAGGGTGTGGGAGGAGGAGGTCACTCTAGTGGGTTTCGTAATTACTGGGAATGTATGATATGACATGAGCATATCAAAATATTTGGCAGTGGCATTATCATGGGTGTCAAGGAGGTTAATATTGAAATCACCTAATATGAAAAAGTTTTTTTTTGCCATTGTCAGTTTCTCGAGTACGCGATCCATTGCACCAGTAAAAGCAAGTACGTTATTTTTTGGATGGTTATAAATAACACCAATGATGAGGCTTTGGAAGTTTAAGTTGAAATTAGAACACTTGATTTCTACCCACATATCCTCACAGGAAGAAATGGATAATTTAAAATCGCAGATAATCTGGTAATCCAAATTGTTTTTTAAGTAAAATCCCACACCGCCCGCCTGAGTTGGAGAGGGTACATGGATAAAGGCATAACCCGGGATGTCGACATTATAAAACGCTACCTCACTTTTGATCCTGGTCTCGGTCAAAGCAATTATATGGGGAGGAGAATAGAACTTTGAATACAAATCAATTAAATCATCAACATATTTAGGAAGTGATCTGATGTTATGATGCACTAGAATAAGGTCAGATGGTGGGATCCTTGATGATACCTCATTGATATCTGTTAATTCGAGGTATTGAGTCAGTGTTGAGTCTATGAAAGGGTTGAAAAAGTCTGATTTCCAATTTATATTGGGGGAACTAGCTATATCATGCATAGAAAATATTGGATTGAGTAAAGGTGGAAGTCTTCAGGGAATATAAGTTATAAACTATGAAATGTATAATAGTTGACCGGTATTTTATAACTAGAATGGGATTCATTAAGTGGAAAATTGCTAAAAAAGCCAAAATGGGACAAAAAGGAATTATACAATAAATGAAAATGTAGATAGTCCACTTATCTGATTTTTTGCAAATCATCTTCATTAGATATTGATAAGGTGTTAGTTTCTTTATTTTTTTTCACAAGAACCCTTCCACTGGATGTCCACAGAAAAGCGTATCCACATTGTCTTTTTAGAATTTTGGCTTGGTAAAATAGATTTCTATTTTTGTCTGTCAAGTTTTCGACAATGAAGGCTTTTGATAAGTTAGACACGGATGTAGTATTGCGAGCAGTTCTAATGAGATGGCGATTCTTAAGTATCTTGTTTCGGATCTTTCTGTTGGTGAACTTTGCAATTAGAGGTTTATGGATGTTTGAGTTCTGTGATGGGAAACGATGAGTAACAGAAATATCAGATGGCTTGATATCAACATGTATCATTTTCCCCACCTCCATTACCAGTTTATCTGTGTCCTCATTAGGAGTAGGAGCTAAACCATGAAATTCGAGGTTGTCGAGTCTAGAGCGCCTTTCTTGCTCCTCGACTTTATCAGTTGTATAAAATAACTCCTCCTCAAGCTCGTAAACTAGATCTTCCAGTTCACGAATTCTTTTGCAGCATTTTGAAAGGTTATCCTCCATTGATTTTTGCTTCGCAGATATCTCATCATACATCTCTGATTGGAATGTTTGAGACTCTTTAATTGAGGAAATATCTTGCTTTATTTCCTTTAAAGACTGCGTTTGCTCATCCATGCACTCCTTGAGGCCGGGGCTCAAAGGTAGGTATTCTGATGTGAGATTAGCAGGAGAAAAGTTATCTGCGATGCATCTAGCAATTAAGGCAGGAAGTTGCAATTCAATATTTCTCTGGATTATTTCCTGAAGATTTGGTTGTAAGTTTGATCTGATGTGCTGATGTGGCATAGGGGTAATTGGAGAGAGGCCAGGATCTGGTAGGCTTCTACTCAATCTTGGTTTAGGCTTTGGCTTAGTGGTGTCATTGGAAGCCATGTTTGCGTTGGAGTTCGGCATGTCGTAAGATGTTCAAAGAGACGAAGATTGCAGAGTTAGACTATTCAGCTATTCTAAGGTAGATTTAAACCTAGATCTTGGACAGCAAACAATGGAAGCAAACTAAGGAAGACAAATACGCATTGCAATTGATGGAAGATTCAGTTGAGATCGTGGACGGACATTATCAGTTACCATTGCCATGGAAGCCAGGATGTCCTGATTTGCCAGACAATCGAAGTGTTGCGATGAAACGCTTAAAGTACATTGAACGAAAATTGAAGAGTGATTCTGTTTTGAAAAAGAAGTACTGTGATACTATGGAGAAATATATTAGTCTTGGATTTGCAAAACGTATCCCGAATAAATATAAAGTTGGCCGTAAAGGTGCAGTTTGGTACTTGCCTCATCACCCTGTGTTTTCTGAACAAAAGCCAGGCAAGGTACGCGTTGTCTTCGACGCTGCATCACGTTGTATGAATACTTCCGTGAATGACCAACTATTGAGAGGCCCGGATACGGCAAATTCTCTACTTGGAACGCTTCTCCGCTTTAGACAACCCAGAGATAGCTATTGTGGCTGACATCGAAGCAATGTTCCATCAGGTGAAAGTACACCCGAAGGATTGGAATGTATTGCGATTTATGTGGTGGCCTGGAGGTGATTTGTCACAGGATCCATCAGAATATTTTATGGTCAGGCACATATTTGGTAGCGTCTCATCTCCATTTTGTGCTAATTGGAGTCTGAAGAAGACAGCTCAAGATCATCAAGATGAATTTGACGAAAATGTTGTCAAAGCAGTTGAGCGAAATTTTTATGTTGATGATTACCTGAATGGCTCATCTACTGTAGACCAGGGAATTCATATTGTTCGAGAAACGAATAAATTGCTGGAGAAAAAAGGATTTCATCTAGCAAAGTGGAAAAGTTCCAATCCTGAAGTTCTGTCTGAGATTCCTGCTAAAGACAGAGCAGACACTGCGTCAAGTGTAAATTTAGAACCTGAAAAAATCGATAGAGTACTCGGAATAAAGTGGAATATCCAAGAAGATTGTTTTGGATTTGATGTTAATGTGAAATCAAAACCCGCAACAAAACGAGGGATTTTGTCTGTACTCAGTTCGATATTTGACCCGATGGGAATAGTGGCACCTGTAATACTAAAGGCAAGGATATTGATGCAGCAGTTATGTCGAAATAATTATGGATGGGACGATGAAATATCGAATAGTGAAAATTTATTGTGGAACAGATGGCTCGAAGATATTCCCGGACTTGAGAATATATTCATGCAAAGATGTTTCGCGCCTTCTGGTTTTGGCAATATTGTGACTCGTCAAATACACCATTTTGCAGATGGCTCTGCAGTTGCCTATGGAACGGTATCGTATTTGCGACTAATCAATGAAGATGGGAAGATTCATGTTGCGTTTCTTTTAGGAAAAGCTCGACTTGCACCCATCAAAACTGTTTCAATACCACGGCTGGAGTTGAGACGTGAATTAGACTTCGAAGAAAATAGAGTCGATGTTTTGGACAGACTCAACTTCCGTGCTTTTGAGTATTAATAATACATCACGAAGATTTCCAACATTTGTGGCAAATCGACTTGCAAAGATTGAAGAGGGATCGAATGCTTTACAGTGGAGATATGTACCTACAGATTTGAATCCCGCAGATGATGCATCCAGAGGATTGTCGGTACTATCGTTGATGGATGAACGATGGCTGAAGGGACCATCATTTCTCCAAGAGCAAGAGGAACATTGGCCTAAACCGCCAGTACAGTTACCTGAGCTTCCTGATGAATTTGTAAGATGCAAGCCACGAGTTGTTGCGAATTATGTTTCTGAGTTTGATTTGAAGCCAATGGATAAATTTATTTCATATTTCTCAACATGGTATAAATTGAAAAAGGCAAGTGCATGGATGATTCGATTTAAAGAATACCTTCATAAGAAGAAGAAATATAAGTGCAATGAGAAACTTGAAGTTGAAGAATTGCGAGTTGCTGGAGACGACATTTTGAAATACATACAGAGACAAGAATTTGGCGAAGTTATTGATGCATTGCAGAAAGCCAATCATAGAAGTACATCTGGGAAACAAGTACTGAAGAGATTGAAGATTGCAAATTTCCTGCATAAACTCAATCCGATTATGAAAGATGGCTTCATCAGAGTTGGTGGGAGATTGAGAAATGCACCGGTTGATTTCGATGTTAAACATCCGATTATACTTCCACATAAACATCATGTAACTGAGATGATTATAAGAGAACATCATGTATCTACACATCATTCTGGTATGGGGAGTACATGGACTTCTCTGAGACAACGATTTTGGATCGTTAAAGGAGGCGCTATGGTGAAATCTGTTATCAGAAAATGCATGTTTTGTCGAAGAAGAAGTTCACCTGTGAGTAAACAGATTATGGCAGATCTTCCGAAAGAAAGAGTCACACCAGGTGAAAGACCATTTACCTATGTTGGAGTGGATACTTCGGACATTTTCTTGTAAAGCAAGGACGAAGTACTGTCAAGAGGTGGGGCTGTATATTTACATGCATGACAACTCGTGCCGTACACTTGGAAGTTGCATACTCGATGGATGCAGATTCATTCATAAATGCGTTAAGAAGATTTATTGCACGTAGAAGTAGACCATTCAAGTTCATCTGTGACAACGGTAGTAACTTCGTTGCAGCAAATAAAATCCTACGTAAAGAAATAGAAGTTTGGAATTCAAGCAAAGTTGGACAATTTTTGCGTCAGGAGAATATTAAATTTCATTCAATCCACCTACTGCTTCTAATTTTGGAGGATGTTACGAAAGATTAATTCGATCAGTTCGAAAGATTTTGGTTGCTCTCTTACACGATCAGTTGGTGTCAGATGAAGCTTTGGCTACTATTTTTTGTGAAGTGGAATCACAGTTGAATTCCAGACCCATCACTCCAATAAGTTTCGATCCGAAAGATGATGAGCCACTCACTCCAAATCACTTGCTGTTACTGAATCCTACAAGTAATTTACCTCCTGGCATATTCGACAAAAAGGACTGTTACACTCGACGAAGATGGCGACAAATTCAGTATTTAGCTGATCAGTTTTGGATCAGATGGACCAAAGAATACTTACCCACACTTCAGACACGACAGAAATGGACCTCTAAAGAACGTAATATGGAAGTTGGTGATATTGTGCTACTTGTAGACAATACTATACCAGGGAAGTGGCAGACTGGACGTGTTATGGAAACTACACCTGATAAACTTGGAGCTGTGCGTCAAGTTACTGTGAAGACATCCAGGGGTTTATTGAGAAGGCCAATTGCAAAGTTGTGCTTGATTCATAGAGTTAATGAGTAAAATGTTTTCAAGTGTGTGATATCCTCGATGTAAGAAATTTGTGAGTAAGATGTTTTCACTGGGTTCCAACATCTGGCTGGGGGAATGTTACATCGAGAATCGCATTCACTTGATTTTTGTATTGACTTAAACATTGCGTCTGTTTAACTTGTGTAGTAATTTATTTGTTATTGTTGACGCCGTAATTTCACTTGATTGACAGTGTGCTTCTACACACTTTGTTACGAAACAATTGAGAGAGTCTTCGTGGCAATTGCTTGCCCAGACATGTCTCGCTTAGACATGGATAGTTTCGGTAATTTGCTTTAGATAGCGCTTTACTTTTGCAGAGAATGGCGCTCGTTTCGTTGTAATTTGTAAATAAGTTAAACTTGTTCAGCGACCTTGGCTTTCTGTTTTGACTGTAGGACGATTAAATAATGTAGATTATGGCTGCCCACATAGACCTATTTAGGGATATTTTATGAGCATTAAATGGCCTTTTGTGATTGATTTTACAGTTATAGTTTATTTAATTGATTTGTTCGGATTTCATTGACGAATGATTTCATGTTCAACTTATGATAATTTAAGCCTGGAATAGCAGACAAATTCGGTATGTTATAATTTGTAACTCTTTCTGATTTGAAGACTGCAAGTTATTCAATAGTAATTTGTTCGACTTTAATTAACTATGTTTGATAATGTGTTCATAAATTTGAGTAGGCTTTCTAAAGGCCGAATTGTGTACGATTATTTATTTATTGTAAGTATTTTGTATTGATTTGTTTTTACGTTTGTATTAAGATAACCGTGTCAACTGTATACTTCGAGTTGTGTGATTTGCTGGATTGAGGATACAAACTTGGGGCTTGAAAGACCGCGTTATTGAACTGTTAATAAATATCTAGTGTGCAGTCGGTGTCGTCCAGGTCACAAAGAACGGCTGTTACAATACACCTTTCATCGCTTGAAATTAGGCTACTTTTCAACAGTTTGTACAGTTGGTACATATATAGATAACAAGCGCAAGCTTATCAATATTAAAATATACAGACACCCTAACGTAAAATTGTCTCAAGTCAATCGTGTATTAACGCTTTTATCATATATCCTAGATATTTTACCATTCAGTATAAATTTGTCTGAAATTTATTGTAGAAATTAATCTTGATCGTAAATGAGAAGCAGACACAAGCATCGCCGTTCGTATGTGTTATGTTGCATATGTTTTCGGAATTGGGTTCGTGCAATCAACGATAAAAAACAGTTCGAAGATAAAAAAAAATCGTACGATGAAGTACTCCACAACACTTTCAAACGAGAATATCGGTCAGAGACCGAAGACTTATCGATCGAAAGTTAGGGGATCCCCCAAAACAGCGCTCTTACTCCATAGTGACACCTTGCGTCCCATCACCAACTAATTATTTAACTCGCTAATTATACGACATAATTCATCCAAAATCAATAGGCTTCTGGTACGACATATAATGAATGCACATGCAAAATCTTGAGAAGATTCAATCTCGCTTTTGTGATTTATCACGTGCATCTAACAGGCAAACTGACAAATACCTATCAACATACTTACCGATTAAAATCGATAAGTAACTAGAGCTGCGTGCAGCTTTAACAGGCTTCCCGCGTAAAAAAAACTGAAGACGCGTTTTGCTCAGTGGAGCGTGAAAGCGTGGTCAGTCATGCATAAAATTTGCAATTTATGATGGGGGACTTATTATCTGCATGTGATGTAAATTTCAAGTCTCTAAGTAGCGTCGTTCTCGAGAAGAAGATGAAAATCCTATATTGCTCACTGGAGCGTATCGCCGAGGTCACTCATGCGTATTCTTGACATATCGTATCCGGAACATGCTTCCCGCGTAAAAAAAACTGAAGGCGCGTTTTGCTCACTGGAACGTGAAAGCGTGGTCAGTCATGCATAAAATTTGCAATTTATGATGGGGGACTTATTATCTGCATGTGATGTAAATTTCAAGTCTCTAAGTAGTGTCGTTCTCGAGAAGAAGATGAAAATGTAAAATCCTATATTGCTCACTCGAGCGTATCGCCGAGGTCACTCATGCGTATCCTTGACATATCGTATCCGGAACATGTCCATTAATCATTGTTATGAATTTCAACCCAATAGCATGTATCAATTTTGAGAAATCGCAAAAAAACTGAATACGCGTTTTGCTCACTGGAGCGTGAATGCGTGGTCAGTCATGCATAAAATTTGCATTTTATTGCTAGCTGAGAACTTCTGCACATTTGAGGTGAATTTCAAGTTTGTAGGACCAATTTGAAAAAAAAATAATAAAAATAAATAATAATAAATAAATAAATAATAATAATAACTAGAGCTGCGTGCAGCTTTAACAGGCTTCCCGCGTAAAAAAAACTGAAGACGCGTTTTGCTCAATTTATGATGAGGGACTTATTATCTGCATGTGATGTAAATTTCAAGTCTCTAAGTAGTGTCGTTCTTGAGAAGAAGATGAAAATGTAAAATTCTATATTGCTCACTAGAGCGTATCGCCGAGGTCACTCATGCGTTTCCTTGACATATCGTATCCGGAACATGTCCATTAATCATTGTTATGAATTTCGACCCAATAGCATGTATCAATTTTGAGAAATCGCAAAAAAGCTGAAGACGCGTTTTGCTCACTGGAGTGTGAAAGCTTGGTCAGTCATGCATAAAATTTGCAATTTATGATGGGGGACTTATTATCTGCATGTGATTTCAATTTCAAGTCTCTAAGTAGTGTCGTTCTCGAGAAGAAGATGAAAATGTGAAATCTTATATTGCTCACTGGAGCGTATCGCCGATGTCACTCATGCGTATCCTTGACATATCGTATCCGGAACATGTCCATTAATCATTGTTATGAATTTCAACCCAATAGCATGTATCAATTTTGAGAAATCGCAAAAAAACTGAAAACGCGTTTTGCTCACTGGAGCGTGAAAGCGTGGTCAGTCATGCATAAAATTTGCAATTTATGATGGGGGACTTATTATCTGCATGTGATTTCAATTTCAAGTCTCTAAGTAGTGTCATTCTCGAGAAGAAGATGAAAATGTAAAATCCTATATTGCTCACTGGAGCGTATCGCCTAGGTCACTCATGCGTATCCTTGACATATTGTATCCGGAACATGTCCATTAATCATTGTTATGAATTTCAACCCAATACCATGTATCAATTTTGAG